AGCCCTGTCTCTGTCACAGGTGGCCCATGAGGTGGCCATCTGGCCACCTCAGGGCACCCCGGAAGCTGTATTAGGTAAGGTAGAGCAGGCACCTGCTTAACTTGATAGCAGGTGCCTGCTCTGCCAAAAAATGCCAGTGACCGGAGAAGAGGGGGACAGAGAAGGCAGGCGCAAGGAGGGCTGTTCTTGCAGCCTCTTACACCGCCCTCGTGCACCCTCTGTGATGCCGGGAGCCGAAATATTATGTAATTACGTCCCCGGCACACTAAACAGCAGGCGGGAGGAGTGAGGAGCTGCACACACTGGATCCCAGGGAGGTGAGTATTTGACTGTCAGTGAGTGTGTGTGTGTGTGTCAGGGAGTGTCTGCCTGTGTGTGTGCTTGTCAGTGAGTGCGTATGTATGTCAGTGAGTGTGTGTGTCTGTGTCAGTGAGTGAGTGTATGCATGTTTGTCAGTGAGTATCTGTGTGTGTGTATGTCAGTGAGTGTGTATGTATGTCAGTGAGTGAGTGTGTGTGTGTGTGTGTGTGTGTGTCTGTCAATGAGTGAGTGTATGTATGTCAGTGAGTGTGTGTGTGTGTGTCTGTCAGTGAGTGAGTGTATGTTTGTCAGTGAGTGTATGTGTGTGTGTGTCTGTCAGTGAGTGAGTGTTTGTGTGTCTGTCAGAGAGGGAGTGTATGTCTATCAGTAAGTGTGTGTGTGTGTGTGTGTCAGTGAGTGAGTGTATGTCTGTCTGTCAGTAAGTGTGTGTGTGTGCGTGTGTCTGTCAGTGAGTGAGTGTATGTATGTCAGTGAGGGAGTGTATGTCTATCAGTAAGTGTCTGTGTGTGTGTCTGTCTGTCTGTCAGTCAGTGTATGTCTGTCAGTAAGTGTCTGTGTGTGTCAGTGAGTGAGTGTGTGTCAATGAGTGAGTGTATGTATGTATGTCAGTGAGTGTGTGTCAGTGAGTGTGTGTTTGTGTGTCTGTCAGTGAGTGAGTGTATGTCTGTCTGTCAGTAAGTGTCTGTGTGTGTGTGTCTGTCAGTGAGTGAGTGTATGTATGTCAGTGAGGGAGTTTATGTCTATCAGTAAGTGTCTGTGTGTGTTTCAGTGAGTGAGTGTGTGTCTGTCAGTGAGTGAATGTATGTCTGTCAGTGAGTGTGTCTGTGTGTCTGTCAGTGAGTGTGTGTATCTGCCAGTGTGTGTCTGTCAGTGAGTGAGTGTCATGAGGGGGGAGGTAAAATGGATCTTGGCCTAGGGCGGCAGAAATCCTTGCACAGGCCCTGAATACACACTTCCGTCTAGCCATCCCAAATTTTTTTTATTTTTTTAAAGTGCATACAAACACGTTTTAATGTATACATAATTTAATTCTACTCCAGTTAAACTATTAAAACTGAACTTTCAAGTTCAAGAGAATATTAAATGCTTAATAGACTCCTTTTTTATCATATAAGTGGTCTGTGAGATTTTCTGCTTCATTCATGGTTTAAAACATTTTTTTTAAATAATCACTACTATAAATTCACTACTTTATGAAGTATTAGTAAATTCATTATCTATGAATTGCAAGGAGCGTGTGTATATATATATATATACAGTTGCAAGAAAAAGTATGTGAACCCTTTGGAATGATATGGATTTCTGCACAAATGGTCATAAAATGTGATCTGATCATCATCTAAGTCACAGCAATAGACAATCACAGTCTGCTTAAACTAATAACACACAAAGAATGAAATGTTGCCATGTTTTTATTGAACACACCATGTAAACATTCACAGTGCAGGTGGAAAAAGTATGTGAACCCCTAGACTAATGATATCTCCAAGAGCTAATTGGAGTGAGATGTCAGCCAACTGGAGTCCAATCAATGAGATGAGATTGGAGGTGTTGGTTACAGCTGCCCTGCCCTATAAAAAACACACACCAGTTCTGGGTTTGCTTTTCACAAGAAGCATTGCCCGATGTGAATGATGCCTCGCACAAAAGAGCTCTCAGAAGACCTACGATTAAGAATTGTTGACTTGCATAAAGCTGGAAAGGGTTATAAAAGTATCTCCAAAAGCCTTGCTGTTCATCAGTCCACGGTAAGACAAATTGTCTATAAATGGAGAAAGTTCAGCACTGCTGCAACTCTCCCTAGGAGTGGCCGTCCTGTAAAGATGACTGCAAGAGCACAGCGCAGACTGCTCAATGAGGTGAAGATGAATCCTAGAGTGTCAGCTAAAGATTTACAAAAGTCACTGGCAAATGCTAACATCCCTGTTGGCGAATCTACAATACGTAAAACACTAAACAAGAATGGATTTCATGGGAGGATACCACAGAGGAAGCCACTGCTGACCAAACAAAACATTGCTGCACGTTTACAGTTTGCACAAGAGCACCTGGATGTTCCACAGCAGTACTGGCAAAATATTCTGTGGACAGATGAAACCAAAGTTGAGTTGTTTGGAAGAAACACACAACACTATGTGTGGCGAAAAAAAGGCACAGCACACCAACATCAAAACCTCATCCCAACTGTGAAGTATGGTGGTGGGGGCATCATGGTTTGGGGCTGCTTTTCTGTGTCAGGGCCTGGACGGATTGCTATCATCGAAGGAAAAATGAATTCCCAAGTTTATCAAGACATTTTGCAGGAGAACTTAAGGCCATCTGTCTACCAGCTGAAGCTCAACAGAAGATGGGTGTTGCAACAGGACAATGACCCAAAGCATAGAAGTAAATCAACAACAGAATGGCTTAAACAGAAGAAAATACGCTTCTGAAGTGGCCCAGTCAGAGTCCTGACCTCAACCCAATTGAGATGCTTTGGCATGACCTCAAGAAAGCGATTCACACCAGACATCCCAAGAATATAGCTGAACTGAAACAGTTCTGTAAAGAGGAATGGTCAAGAATTACTCCTGACCGTTGTGCACGTCTGATCTGCAACTACAGGAAACGTTTGGTTGAAGCTATTGCTGCCAAAGGAGGTTCAACCAGTTATTAAATCCAAGGGTTCACATACTTTTTCCACCTGCACTGTGAATGTTTACATGGTGTGTTCAATAAAAACATGGCAACATTTCATTCTTTATGTGTTATTAGTTTAAGCAGACTGTGATTGTCTATTGTTGTGACTTAGATGATGATCAGATCACATTTTATCACCAATTTGTGCAGAAATCCATATCATTCTAAAGGGTTCACATACTTTTTCTTGCAACTGTGTGTATATATATGGAAAGGTTGTCTCATGGTGAACTGTGGGTGATGTATTCCATCCAATTTAATTGTATCTTTGCATCTAAACAGAGGCAAAGTTGTAAATGTGACACTCTTATACACTTAGAGAATTACTTTTTTGTAGCAGTGTAAGTATGTGATTCACTTATGCACACTGCTGTGAACCTGATATAATGTAATCTCCATTCTCAAATTAATTCTGTTTAAATCTGGTTTGAAAAACCATCAAGAGGTTTCCAACGAAAAAACAATTCATCGAGGCATAAACACGGGAATGCTGATTCACTCCTGAGTGCTGACAGAGAATGAATCAGCATTTCCTAATTCTTACAAAACGAACGAACTAAAGAATTGTGCAAACGTAAGGATTTCAACATGATATCTAACAACCAGAAAAACATCTGGAATATTACAAGATACCATATATCATGTCATAAATACGAGAGAGAGAGAGAGAGAGAGAGTTTCTATACATTCTATACTTCCATCGTGTTCTATTAGTAGGGTTCTCCTTATTGCTGTTTGCTCAGTGTATATTTCACTGCATAGATAAACATTCTATGTCCAGATACAGATATCTCAACATGCAAAAATGCATTTTAGGGAGGTTGCCAGCTATCCTCCCCTCCTTGCCCCCCCTCACACTCACACACAAGCACACACAGCCACCAAACATGTATGAACACATTGGCACATAGATACACGCACTGGCACATACACACAAGCGCTCAGAAACACACTGACACACAGATACACACACTCAGATACACACACTGGCATATATACACCGATACACACACTGGCACATACACAAACTTTCAGATACACACTGACACACAGATACACACACTCAGATACACACACTGACATACAGACACACACTGGCATATATTCACAGATACACACACTGGCACATACACAAACTTTCATATACACACTGACATACAGATACACACACTGACACTCAGTTACACATTGACACACACATGGACACACACACACAATCTGATACACATAAACACATACATGTCATACTCTATGTATTTGCAGTCATCCTATTGTTAGATTTCCTTTTATGTCCAGGAGGGTTGTTTGCGTGGAGTGCTAGCTGAGGCTGATGGAAGTGAGCATGTAGCTCACTCCAGCCTCTCCTCTGCAGGCATGCTGCCTGTACCACCGCTGCCTCCTCCTTCCTCCATTCCTCCCATGCAGTGCTCTGTGAAACATGGAGATATTGACAGGCTGTAACTTCCTCCCTGGCAGATGATAGTACAGGGGCCCGGTCACGCTCTTAAAGGGCCGCGGCACCCTATCAGGCCCCCTGTCTAGGGAGTATTATCAAGTGTCTACAAATTATACAATATCCTTGAAATCTCACACACACAATCTGACATACTTTGTATTTGTGATTTCCAGGATATTGAATATGATTTGTGGGTTTCAAGGAGTCACATTAAAAATGTGGGAGACTCCCGGAACCTACAGGAGACGTGGGATGTCTGAGGATATAATAAACATATTGATTTTGGACCAGTGAATATCATTTGCAGTAGATAGCCATGAAAAATGTACAGTTTATAGACAAATTGTAAGTTAAAGGGACACTATAGTCACTTGAACAACTTTAGCTTAATGAAGCAGTTTTGGTGTATAGAACATGCCCCTGCAGCCTCACTGCTCAATCCTCTGCCATTTAGGAGTTAAATCCCTTTGTTTATGAACCATAGTTCAGTCACCTCCCTGCATGTGACTTGCACAGCCTTCCATAAACACTTTCTGTAAAGAGAGCCCTATTTAGGCTTTCTTTATTGCAAGTTCTGTTTAATTAAGATTTTCTTATCCCCTGCTATGTTAATAGCTTGCTAGACCCTGCAAGAGCCTCCTGTATGTGATTTAAGTTCAATTTAGAGATTGAGATACAATTATTTAAGGTAAATTACATCTGTTTGAAAGTGAAACCAGTTTTTTTTTCATGCAGGCTCTGTCAGTCATAGCCAGGGGAGGTGTGGCTAGGGCTGCATAAACAGAAACTGAGTGATTTAACTCCTAAATGACAGTGAATTGAGCAGTGAAATTGCAGGGGAATAATCTATATACTAAAACGACTTTATTTAGCTAAAGTAATTTAGGTGACTATAGTGTTCCTTTAACATAGCCAATACCCATTATCTACAATACAAAATTAGCGGACAGAACATAGAGTAACATTGTACAAGATTAGAGGGAAATAAACTCTAAATATGGCAGCAGCGTAAATCTTAGCAAAAGCCTTCAAATCAATTGGCGTTTGTGAGTGCATTATTTAGAGTTTATTTCCCTCTAATCTTGTACAATGTTACTCTATGTTCTGTCCTCTATTTTTGTATTGTAGATAACCCTTTTTTGGGTATTGGCTATATTTTCTTTCGAAGACTTGGAGGAGTCTTTAGCTACATGCATATAAAATAAATAGGGGTAATTTATTCATTTATATTATCACCCCCACTGAGTGTTTTTTTTTCTCCACTTCTAAGAGGTGTTAGTCTGTTACTGTTTTGTATAAATTGTAAGTTAACGATGATTAAGGTGAAGAGAATTAAACATTCTTAAAAGGGCACTCTAAGTACCATAACTACGACACAGCACTGTAGTGGTTACGGTGTCAGGAATCCCCTGGTGCAGCCTCACGGTAACTGGCAAATCATTTAAAGCGTTCATTTAATTTTTTGTCTCTTGGTGTAGAGTTTCAATTAGACTTGACGATGTGTTTTGGATCGAACTGCAATTTCGGCCGAACTCCTGATCATTTGTGTTCAACTTAAGTTCTACATCAGAAAAAAAGTGAAACTTTTATCTCACCCAGCAATGCTGAGGTAGTGACTGAAGATTTGTCACCTCGTTTATTCTACCATTCGTCACCACATTATTATTTTTTTACTATAACAATGTTACCATTTTTAAATAAAAATATTTTTTGCGTATATTCACAGATACTGGGACATTTGAAGGATGTCAGACGGTTATAATAAGTGATATACATTTCAGAAGAAATGCACTTTTTTTTAGATTGGTGTCAATAATATGGAAACTAGACCTATGGACTGCAGGACCGTGCGTAGCCGGCTTAGTAACAGATTGGCAAGGTGAGCCGTAGCGCCACCTCTTCAAACTTTCTCCAAAAACAAGCACAGATCTCCTCATATGCCATAAGATAAGCCTCTTCCTGTCTCAATTGCATCTCCACTGCCGGTGGTTGTAAGTGATGCATAAATAGCTGCCATCTTGGGTGACTCAGATTGTTACCGATCTGCAGCCAGTTGCATGCCCAGAGTAGTAGGGGCAGTAGATCACTGTGCTGGTGGGGACTGAGATATCCCCCCACTGGTCCAAAGATCTAATCGATCTGCCGGAGAGTGGCGAATCGGCCTCATCCCCCAACTTGGGTTGATGTGCTGGCCTCAGTCGCAAAGTCTGTGGGAGACCCGTAGCAATCACATAAACTGCTGTCCAAAGCAAGTAATACCGGTAAGTGTCCCAAGGACAATGAAGATTAGAAGACGTGGGTAGATAGGAATTTGGGTATATTTTTAGCGTAATCCAAAGATTTCAATGAGGAGTTCCGTCGGCAGTCATGACCTGCACCCCACATGCAGTTGTTTTTATTATTTTCAGTGAATGGTTTTTCACCAATATTCACCAATATTTATTGTACGTATAGTTATTCATATTTCTGGTCATAGAATTTGGTTGTCAAACTTTTCTGTGTATGTTACAAAAGTTTGCTTTACCCTCCCTTTCTCCATTGCTTGCCCCTTCTAGCAACAAATACCTTCACCTACAAATACCTGTCTTATGTTCATTCTTGTCCAGAGGCTTGCATTCACCTATCTAGACACCAAAAAAAAATTAGAAACGTGATTTCCACTAAGCATTACTCGCCATAGTACTTTATAAGAATGTCTCTCAAGCTGCTTGAGATCTCACTTCATGTGTTGGAGCTTGATAAATGTCGTAATAATTAAATACATAATATAAATATAGATTTCTTTTTTTTACTGCATATGTTTTTTATCCATTTTTTGTTTACTTCTGCTCGCAATGTGCCTACCAGTGTACTGCAAAATATACACATAATATGTGTGTTATGTATTTTTTTTGTAGTACACTGATGGGCCCACTTTAGCTCCATCCATTCCCCCCGCCCCGCCTTCTAAATACACACACACACACACTCACTGACAGATACGCATACACAAGCTAACAGAAACACAAACTCACTGACACACACAGACACACACTCACTAGCAGACACACACACACACTCACTGACACACACACTCACTGGCAAACATACACACAGTCAGACACACACACACACACTCACTCACTAGCAGACATACACACTCACTGACACACACACTCACAGGCAAACACACTCACACTAACAGTCAGACACACACACACTCACTGACAGACACACACTCACTAACAGAGACACACACTAACAGACTCACACACTAACAGACACACTCACTAACACACACACTCACAGACACACACACACTCACTCACATTAACACATGTATTTTTTTGCTGGGCGGGCGGCTGGCGAGGGAGCTCTTTCTCTGAGCTGTCTGCTCAGTTCCCTCGCGCTCTGCAGAGTGAGGCTGGGAGCCGGGTTGATGACGTCATATTCTGGTTCCCTGTCTCACTCTGCGGCGCGCGAGGGAACTGAGCAGACAGCTCAGAGGAAGAGCTCCCTCGCCAGCCGCCCGCCCAGCCCAGTGCCCAGTGCCGCCCGCCAGCCCAGCATGTCTGTTAGCCGCCAGGCTAACTAGGCATTTGCCCTGGGCATTTGGGGGGCGGCTTTTTTTGCCGCCCCCTGAAAAATGCCGCCCGAGGCAAATGCCTTGTTTGCCTCGCGGCTAAAACGCCCCTGCCCCTTCCACGTAGCTGGAGGGGTTAAAACCCCTTCAGTCACTCACCTGAATCCAGCACCGATATTGCTCGGTGCTGGGTTAGGCTCCACCCATCCTCCTCCTCCGCCGACGACAGCCAGCGGGGGAGATCTAATGCGCATGCATGGCAATGCCCGCGCTCGCATTAGGATTTTCCCATAGGAAACCATTATTCAATGCTTTCCTATGGGAAAGACTCTGACGCTTGAAGTCCTCATGCATAGGACGTCCAGCGTCAGATAACGGACCAAAGGAGTTAACCCTGCAAGGTAATTATTGCAGTTTCTCACAACTGCAATAATTACCACTGTAGGGTTAAGTGACATGGGACATTGCACCCAGAACTTTTTTTAATGAGCTGAAGTGGTCCGGGTGCCTGCAGTGTCCCTTTAAGAGGAAACTTTTTGCACGTTTGTTTGCATTGTGAATCTTTGCGGTCCGTTACCATGTAAATTGTTATTTTTTTTCTGCTAGTTTGTTTAATGTCTATTGACTTGATTCTTAAGCATCTGACAAAATTTGAAAATAAATATTGTCAAAAAAAAGATGGATCTTATGTCCTGAGGAAAGCAGATCGTTCTTTAGTACTGGCTATCTCTACACTCAGGGCCTGAAAACTAATAAATACACCCTTAATTAGACATTTAATGACCTATCTATGTTGAGTAAACATGGTTCTCGAGTCAGCACAGATAACCGTCTCCTAAAACTCTTTATACAACACCTAATATATTGTGTCCTATAACACCTCGAGCTAACCACTGTGTAGAATGCATAGTGTATATAAGGAAAGTCTCGAAGATTTTTTAAATGTAACCATCACTTTAACTGGGCAGCGACAATATGCACAGAGTGGAAAGTGTTTTAAAACCATGTGATTCAGCACAGAGGTATGTATGGTCTGTGTAAATACAGCCTTAGGCTGGGAATTTCCCTGTCGATGGAAGATAAACATTTTATTTGTAATATCTAGTGTTACAGGTAATGTTATTTTGAAAATAAACAGTGAGTTAAAAGTGTCTTTCATACCCTCCTTTTTAATGGAACAGTATAGGCACAATAAAAACTTAATTGAAGTTGTCATGGTGCCAGGAAGTCCCTGGAGCTGGCTCACCTTAAGGGAACCATTCTTGAACAGTTAACCCCAAAGTTTGTGTTCCAGCGCAGAATCTCCCTGACTCTCTGCCCTTCTGTCCTCTAAATATCTTGAAACCTGAAGGCGCTGGGTGGCGGCGCTGCTGATTAGGTAAGAGTGGTCCCTATTCATAAAACTTGCCTGAAAAACGCACCTTACACAAATTTCAGTTGCTAATCTAATTTACCCACAACTCATCAGTCAAAAGTGCTTAATTGAGGGATTTACGGACCTTTAGCCCAATGCTCTTCTCATGAGGTCTCATGAGGTCTGGTGCACACATCAGGAAACAAAATGGATGAGGGATACCGACATGTACGCAAGCAAAAAAAATTCAAGCCAGGATCACAGAAGGGCTAATCACAAACATCACAGACGGAGGAGAACAAAATGGTGGAGCAGAGGCAACTCTATAATTAGTCAACCGCCTAAGGCCTCATTCCTGCGCTCCTCACTCCTAGAGCCTTGTTCTCCCTGTGAACACATCGACCAGGACTTCTTATTCAAGTTTTGCCTAAGGCCATGCAAACTCTAGAGTCTCCTCTGTGGCTGAACCAGATACTGAGATCTGACACAAGGAAGAAAAGGTAAATGAAAAAATATATATAAAAAAAAAAAAAAATGCAAGGGTTAGGAGGGGAGTATGGAAACCCCATTCCCCTTTAAATTTGGTTTCCCCTTTAAATTTGGTTAGGAGGGGTGTATGGAAATCCCATTCCCCTTTAAATTTGGTCCCCCCCCTTCCCTTCTTTTACCCCCATATTATAATGGTTATATTTTTGTTTCAAAATTGTTTTAAAATATGTTTTAAAAGACTTGCTAAAATATTTTTTTTTTTTAAGTGGAGGAGTGTATTCATTAACATTCAAAGGTATACAGAAGGACATATCAAAAGGGACTAAAAGTATTTAAAGGTACACTGTAGGCATCCAGACCACTTCAGTTAATTGAAGTGGTCTGGGTGCAATGTCCCATCA